TAATTTGAAGTCAGTCCCTCCGGAACTGGGTGACTGTGAGAATCTGGAAAAGCTGGATTTGTCTGGAAATCTGGAAATAACAGAGCTCCCATTTGAAGTAAGATGACTATTTCTGGTACCTTTTTTATTTGGATTACGAGGAATCTTACCATGGGTTTAAAATATTCTTACAACAGATTAATTACAACCCTGGCAGTTTTTAGCAGTAATGTTTTAGTAGTGCTGTCACTGAAAATACCTTTATAACAGCTAAACAGGACCAAAGTTCTGTCTTTCGGTTTTGAAATGACTAAATTCTGCTCATATTTATTCTGATAGATGAAGGAGGACTTGATCCCAAAAGGGAATTTGCCCAATGGTGATAAGGAGAAGGCTGCAAATAGCAGCCTTCAGGAAACAAAGTGTATCTTGACAGTCAAATGTTCATACTAGTTTTAAATTGTTTTCAATGTCTATTTATCTTTAGAAGGGTATAGGTCTGTGAACAGCACTACACATTACCATGGACATGAATATATCTAACATAAGTCTACGTGTGTATTACCTGTGAAGCAAGGTATGCAGCAAGGTATGCAGATCATCAAGACCCATGAAAGGACTACCAGACGTGATATCATTTCCTGTGTGGATGCATAACTGGCTGCTTGCTCAGGTGGCAGTTCCAAAATTTGCTCTTCCTAGAGAATTAAAATGGTCTGCTAGGACCTAAACAGAGTCTCAGGTACCATCAGTATTTCCCTAAAGCACTGGTTACTGGAGGATGGATGAGGAGAGGTTCAGGGAGAAGTATCAGGCTCTTCTTGGCTGATTTTTTTTTTTTTTTTTTTTTTTTTTTTTTCCCCTACCTCTAAGCATCTCTTACTAGTCCAGGCAATCTTTGCCATCCAGGCAATGTTGGAGGGGTTATGCTTGTGTGAGTTCTGTTTTGGCCATGCTTATGTTCTGCTCTGAGAAAACAGAAACAGTAAATAATCACCCTCCAGCTTTTCACTGTAGAGCGGTTTATTTGATGAAGAACAATTCTGAAATGATGTGAAGGAAACTGAAACAAGGATGAACATTATCTTCACACTAGGAGTGGACACTGTGTAGAAACATCTGTGGCAGAAATGATGCAGGGGCAGGTCTACCCTTTCCTCTCTTCCTCCTTCATATTAGCAAAGGTAGGAGTCTGAAAAAAGATATTTTACTTAAAGGGTAAAAAGTAATCAAAATGGAACTGGGAAAATATAAATCCTGAACAAGCAAAGGAATCAAATTTAAGGATCCAGGTGAAGTGAGTGATTTCAAACCCAAAGACCAAGTCAATGTATTGTGTTCCTCTCATTTGTCTGTTAAAATCGATGGGAGTTTTCCAGTGGCCTTTGGATGTTTTACAATGCACAGGCTTAAGCTTTGCTATGTGTTGTGGGTAGCCTTTCCGAGTAAATAAAGCTAATTGCAATCTAAATCTTTACAGGGAAGAGGCCCAAGAAGTATTTATCTTAGAAAGCCTAAAATGTTTTTTCTCCTCTAGTAGTCTCATATTCAAATTGTCTTGAAAGCCAACAAAGTTGTATGTATGCTACTGGACCTGCTGTATGCTTCTACTATAGGAAAAACTTTGAACTGCATGGCTGTCGATTCTGTAGGAAAACTAGGGGCAGCATTATGTCAGAGTGATCTACAAAGTCAAAAAGACATATATTGGCATCGCCTATTGTGTTTCTTCACTTCTCTGGAGGGTAGCACTTAATTTGTATTTGCTGTGACCCAGGAGGCAATCTACAGAAACTCTTCTAATTCAGTTTATAAAATTAGTTTCCTGGAATCAATGTTTCAAGGGCAGCTTTGGAAGCTGCACATACAATTAAGCAAACATCTTTTGTCAAGTGATTTAAAAGGCTACGGGGTTTTTGGCCTTCAGTATACTCAATATGGCTGAAGTTGTTCAGAGCAATTGCGTCAGTATCCTTGCTAATATAATAGGTATCTGATGTTCAATCCTCAGATGAACAAAAGGTGGTAGTCACTGGTGGGTAACTGCTTCCTGAATTAAAAAGTGTAGAATTAATCTAAATTGTCTGAGGCTGTGAAAAAGGGAAAGTGGAGGGACACTGTGAAGTGTTTGTGACTCCACATTACACAGATTAGATGCAATTATCTAATACATTTATTCCTAAAATCTATTAATGCAGTGAAATATTCATTGCTTGTTATTCTCCCCTGCAGTATGAGTACTGGGAGTGGGAGAGCAGTGGAAGTTTTGTTTCGGTAGGTGAATGGGATCCATTATAATATCAGGAAAAAAGAAAATGTGATAACTGATGCGTGAAATAAATTGGAGAACTTTTAAAACTATTTCTTCTTATCATCTTTTAGAAAGTTCAATTTTTATTTGACTTTCAAATCACTAAAAATTCCTCTGGAGATGGTAAAGAATTTTTTTCAGAGAAGCAATAGTATACTCCTGTGTAAAACTTGGTTTTAAGAAGTAAAGACCAACTGCAATCCAACAGAGATGATTAAAGTGTAATTTTACCTTGTTTTTTTTTTTTTTACATAAAATAGTGCCTACAGAGACACTGATAACATACACAATAATGGATTCAAGGAGATTGATAACAGGCCTATAATTCAGTCAGGAGTTTTTGACAGCATTGTAGAAGTTTATATGATGATCAGAATACAGCCTGAATTACATCATCAGTAATCAGTCTTCTGCTCAATTTCTGTTTCCTTGTTGAGAGGTGCAGGAAATAAGGAAGTCTGGAAGCTTTTAGTTTATGCATTTTTTGTTCTTTTGATTTATTGGGGAAAGAATCTGGATTTATAAATAGCCATGACATGCAATATGGTGACTTAATTTACAGGTGAAATATCAGGGGGAGGGATCACATAGCTCATAACTTGGGTAATTGCTACCCAGGAGGGACAGAGAGAGAATTAGGTGCATCACACAAAACCATATGGTGGCATCAAATACCTATTGAATTAAATTTTCTAATTTGAGATTACAGCTGTGTCATATATATGCACAAATTTCTGCTGGCATATTCATTATTCCTCATGAATTTGCCAGTCAGACAACTAAGAAGTTCAGATTGTTATGAATTCTGTTAAGTCCATTAACTTGTTAGTAAGTTTTGTAATTTGAGCAGTTAAAAATGGAATCTGTTTCTTTTCAGGTGACTTAAATGTATGATGATTCTACTTTTTGCCTATTTAGTCTATTGATTTCACTTTTCAACACAGAGCAGCTTTATTTTATGTTGAAGCATTCTATGATGTAGCTGTACTAGCACAATAGCGATTCTCTGGATCTTCACTCTGTGTTTAATAGGTTTAATAATTGGTAGCAATATGCCCCCTTTTCTCAGTGTACCAAAGCTTCAGGCACGGCAGTACGCTTGGGCTGGACCTACCTGTTTCACAGAGTGTCTAATTAGCCTATGATGGGTATGTGTACCCAATAGCTGGACTTTTGGGGGTGTTTTTGTATGGCTTATCTCTGTAGCCATAGCTTGAGTGCAGAGTCTTGTGCTGTGCTGTCATGAGGCAAGTACCCTCTTCATTTGCCTTTTCATTCCTTGCAAAATGCTCTTTCCTTATGTCCAAAGGCCACTCCTGCACTCTCTACCTCTTCTCTTTTAATCTTTAAGTGATATGATCTAACACTGCATTACAAAATGTTCATTTTGCAAGGCTTAGGATTTCATAATATACTATACCATGCCTAAGGAAGAGCAGATTGGTTCAATGTCTCTTTTTCTTTTTATTTTTACTGTTTTCCATTATTGCAATCTCCATCATTTTTAGATTTTAAATTTTCATTTATCTTCAAGGTTAGATTACTTGCAAAATAAGTCCTCTAGCGGCAAAGGTTTGTGGATATGCAATTGAATACAAGTCTGTCTTGGCCACATTTGTAAGTTAAAAGCATCTCCATCCATGAGTGAAAACATGAATTGAAGTCAAGTGTAAATGTTAGGCATGGTATTCCACTCATGCAGCTAGTTTGCGACACACATATCTGGACCACAGCTGGGCTCAGTAGAGGAAGATGAACTGGGGGGTTTAGGTATGCTTTCCCTGTGGAGTTGAATTTGACACTTCAGCTAAGCAGATTAAGAGAGGAATGCCCTATATGGTACATAGCGCCTCTCCTAGCAGAAGAGTATTTTACCATTTATAATGCTCTGTGGCTACAGAGACAAGGGATGCATGGATGCATTTGCTGTATTTGCTCTTTTTTTAATGAATTGGTAAGAAGCTGGTGATCTTTTCATTTTATATATCTCCTGTTGCTGATTTGGTACATGTTATGCAATTAATTACTTTTTCTGGAAATAAAGATGGTATTAAAAAGCAGGTATACCTTCAGCTGTAGGTGTGTATAAACATTGTTTTGTCATTAATCTGAGATTAATGAAGACTTTATTGGATCCTACAATTACTTACTGCATCACCCGATTAATCTTTCCAGAACATGGCAGAATAACTCCTTTGTGTTGATATTTCAAAGAGACAACTTTGCTGTGCTGAACAGACCATTCTTTTTCCATACTGTAAACTTCCGTTAGTAATGCTACATCAGTCAAAAGTATTGATAGATGTGACACGAAATACACTTAATAAGAAGACAGGGAAGATGAAGGAATTCTCATTTCCTCCATCTGTTCCATCTGGTGTGCCACATGCCCATAGTCACAGAACTCAGAAGCCACTCTACACCAATAGCACCAAGCCAGAAATACTTGAGGTTAGAAGTTATGATACTCAAAATTTACAAAAGGGATCATAGAATCATAGAATCATAGAATGCTTAAGGTTGGAAGGGACCTCTAGAGGTCATCTAGTCCAACTCCCTGCACACGCAGGGTCACCTAGAGCACGTGGCACAGGACTGCATCCAAGTGGGTCTTGAAGATCTCCAGAGAAGGAGACTCCACGATCTCTCTGGGCAGCCTGTTCCAGTGCTCTGTCACCCTCACTGTTAAGATATTGCAAAATTATTCTGTGATGAGCAGTGCTAAATATCAGTGTGTGTTCTCCTTTTCCTCTGTGAGGTCCGGGCAGTGCAAAGTAAAGGTATGAGATAGAACTGGTATAGCATAT